TCCAAACAAGTTAAAATAGACATAAGGCAGAGTTCAAAAGCAAACAATGACTCACTGGTAGTAAAAGTTACTAATGGCAGTGGTGGTTCCTCTACTTTGACTAGTAGGAGAGGATGGGTTGCCTTCTATAGATGGGCCAAGGGGTTCACACAGAAGTGCTCAGAGGAGGTTGCCTAACTTGAACTGTAAAAGAGTCCAGGCCAGATGACATAAAGCTGCCTTCTTATATCAGCAAACTCCATTATTCACACTGCTGAATCAAATCCTGCAGCACATGCATGCACCCAGAATCCAGTCAGTATTGTCAGAACATGCAGTGCATTAACTGTTAAACATTGTCTGGAAAAAATAAACACATGGGTAACTGCAATGTTTAGTAAACCATATTCCTCAGCTCTTTTTTGTAAAACACAGAACAGTGGTTTTTGGAAAACTGAATAGAAGCTCAAGTAGTTTGTTGTATTCTATTGCTGTAGAGTGTGTTACCAGCAGTGACCTTCGTTGACAGGTAAGAACTACCTAATTAGCAGGCTCTGTGCCATGCAAGCTTTCTCCCTTACTCTTGGCTGAGGGCATTGGAGAGCGTTAGACACCACAAAGCTTGATACACTTGCTACTGAAACTCAGAAAAAACTTTAAACATTTTTTTCAAATGGAGAGAAAACTCCTGATCTTATGTTCATGCTGCTCTGGATTTACGCCCACAAACTATCAAAAGGAAGACAAATGACAGTGCTGTTATTTCAACCAGTTTAATGATTCTGGCAAAAGACCTGGCAGCAGACTCCAAAGATTTCATCTAGGCAAGGCAATGCCTATTCCAAGAGTGGAAATCTCCAACTAGAGAACTGGCAAGTGCATGTTTGTGCTGGAGACTTTAATCAATCATTTCTATTTTTCCCCATGTGATTTAGCAAAGTACAAAAATTGGCTCCTTCATCAATGGCCACAGGCCACTTTTCATGTTTAAGGTATTAGTGCCATGGACTACAGTGAAATATTAACTTCATGTAAAGCAGTCAGTGTTAGAGCCACCTGTTTAATCATTCCTTTACAGTAGCTCTCCTTCAAAAACTGTCAACAAATTCTTTGTTGACACTGTCAACAAGGAGCCCAGGAGAGCACTGTAGTGTGGACCCCTCTGTGTTCATGCAAAACTCTTCTGCCACCATGATTTCTGAGTCTGCTGCTGAGCACCAACCCCATCATGGTTACCTTCTGAACTGAAATGACACAAATTGTCCTGGCACCAATGACCGAGTCAATTAGCAATCAAAATGTTGCTGCAGATTTGTACTATGAAATGCACTTTGAAAGGCCTGGACAAGCTTTAGAGCCCTAACTGCAAAACTGGGATTTAGATTAAATTAGAAGCCTACTCAGCAGCCACCTAACTTTTTATTTAGACCTTGAAGTTCCTGAGGTGCTAATAATCCTGCTTCTGTGGATACCCAAAACTGTCCTTGCTTACTCTGGTGGGAAGCAGAAAGTAAAGGTAATGTAATCTAAGACTGTAAGTTTACACAACTTCCTTGTAAGGCAGTACTCTGTAAACACTTCCCAGGTCATGGGAATATCTTGGGTATATGGGAATATCTGCTTATCAGAGTAATCCTGTGGTGTATATCTACCCCACACTCTGATTTCCCTAAAGGGAGGACCCAGAAAGAGCTCTGCATGGAAGACAGTACATGCTCAAGAGACACTGATATCCTCAGGGCGTCCTGTTCAGCATGCTTCAAAAATATGTTTATGTGCAGCCTAAGGGTCCAGATCAGCTACATGTGCTCTGAACAGATGCAACACATGGCAAGAGGACCAGCATCCTTTCTAAATGGTCATGAATGCTTAATATGCAGTGATATATTTGCCAGTGCTGCCTCCTTTTAGGTTGTAACTCAATGGTTACCTCAGCCAAGTGCCTGGAAGGTGTCTCTATGCATCTCCCATCTTCAAAAGGTTAAAACATCTCCCATCTTCAAAAGGTTAAAACATCTCCCATCTGCCAAGGCAGTATCATATTTCCTCTCTGCTTCACTAGGCAGAGAACAGTCATTCTTCACTCCCAAATCAGTAGGAAAAAAAAAAAAGCCAAGCTAAAGACACATACAATATATGGAATATAATTAAGGTAGTTAGCCTTTGTCTCCTTTGGGCCAGTTGTTAACACAGTCCAGCTGATTTCTGCAGAAGGAATGAATAAATTTCAGCAAAAAAAATGCCAAGTCTCAGACGACAGTAACGAAAGGGCAAACTGGAAGACAGCTCAGCCTAATCATCTGCACCCCAGTGTTATCAGAGGCAACATTTTTCTCTGCAAGCAACCAATGATCCCGCATAAAGTGGGTTGGAAGGAGAGATCACAGGAGTGAAACCATTTTGAGTTCAGAAGACTTTTCAGGCCATCCTTCCATCATACACCTTATAGCAAACAGTCATTGGAAATAAAAAAATTAATCCTCAGAATCATTCATAGTCAGACATGTGTCCGGGCTTCTAATTGACCCTGGGACACTGCTGGTGTCACGAGTTGCCCATCTCAGCCCCCTTTGGGGCCACACATCATTCTCTATACAGAAGCCAGTTCTCTGGCTCACGGATTTGCTTCAGGAGTCAGATACTTCAAAGTGCTTCAAGAAGCTCGTAACTGCATTTGGGTTATGGTGATGCATGAAGAGTGACCTTAGCAGAATGCCTGCTGTATAGAGAATCTCCTCAGGAGAGAAATAATGTAATAGTTCCCCCTGAAGAAGAGAGGTCTCACTGCCTCTCCTCCTTTTCACATCCTTCCCACCATACTCTCCAGTCAGCCTGGTTGGCTCAGCTCAGAGAGCTATCCCAGCAAGGAGAAGGACATAGATTGTGTCTGCAGGATGGGCGAGCTGAACTAGCTCACAGAGAGCCACAGGACCTCACAGCCAGGAAAAAGAGTCTTTCAGCAGCACTGAACCATTCAAGCCGCTTTCCAAGTGCATGAAACCATAGTTTTAAAGCACAGAAACTCAAGCCCTTATGTCCAGCCTCTTTCCCTTGGTTTTAGGTGACCAGTGCCCTTACATGAAAAGCATGATGCTGCCAAAAGCTGGTTGTAGTGAGGGGCAGGCAATCAGCCTACCAGGAGATCACCAGGCCCCTACCATGGGCAGAGAGACAAATCCAGTCCAAAGGTCACTTATTTTATGCCGGCTGAAACCATTTGGTAAATGCATCCTGATATTTTATGGCAAAAATTAAACAGCCTCGTTCTACTCCAGAGCTCCCATTTCCAGGCCCATGGCCAGTTAATACTTCATCTCTTGCTGCAGCGTGACCAGCAGTGGAACAACCACTAAATGAGTCCTTCTGATTCTGGTCTGTCAAAAATCCCAAGCTGGAGCCTGGGGGTTGCTTCCTGCCCACCATGCCTTCCCCTGGTTTGATTTCCACATATCTTGCAGAGGATCTGTTCAGGAAAATTCAGTCTGCAGGTGCAAGTTGTGCAGCTTATTATCTAGCCCACATTTTTATGTCAGCCAAAAATTTTGCAAGAAAAAAACTCATGATTAAAGAGAAGGGCTTCAGAGATGGTTTTGTATTCCAATGCAAAGGCTTTTGCTTTGTGGTATTTGCTACCTAAGTATGGCAAGCAGAATCCGAAAACAGCATTTATTAGCATATATTAGGAACTGATTCTTGAAACAAGTCATGTCTCTTTCTTGGCAGAGCAGTAATGAATTCTCATCACTGAGTTTTTTCTGATCCTGTAATACATTAATTAGTTGGAACGTACTTGAGTTTAAAAGATCATGTCAAATCACAACTTCTAATTGCACATAATTCTCATCAGTGTTTTGCTCCATAAATTACTTTCAAATATGTTAGAGTTTAAAGACAACATTTTTACCCTTATAATTTTTGTATAAATCCAGAGGAAGAAAAAAAACCAAAAAGCCTTGTTCAGGAAGAAATGCAGAAATATAAAATAAATAATAACTTTCGCCACAGATTTTTACATTTGATTTCTTACTCTAAAGAGAAAATCCTACCTGGTAACCTTTATTACCCCCTCCAGACCTCCTAAATCATGGAAACAGATTTTGGAAAGATGCTCAAGGTCAATCATTTAAAAAAGCAACAAAACCAAATCCTTTCACTCATTTGTTTCCCAGGTCACAGAATGAAAGCCTGTAGGCCTCCTATTTCCATCTTTAGCACATATTCTCACTTGAGACTTGGAAAGAAGCTTAAATTTGACTTGCAAAAGAAAGAGAGTGGCATGCTCTTACTCCCTGGGGAAAGCATGTGAAAATAATGTGCTTTTTAAAATTTTTATTTAAGCTTTAGAAACTTCAACTCAAGCTGTAAGAGAGGAAAGGAAGGCCAAGCCAGGCAGCTAGTACAAATAAGGTGCAGACACAGAGCCTTGTCCTATGTCAGCTGGGAAAGGTCTACATTGAAAAACAGCTTCACAAGTCTCCACGTGCCCTAGTTCCTGGGACATTGCTGCACAGCAAAAACTGCAGCTCTATGTGTGCTTTGTAGCATTTGAAATTAAATTGCCTTATGGATCTTCAGCTGTACTTATTTTAAAATTTAAAAAAAAAATTATTTGAGAAGGAAAAAGAGACCTTATTTCCTCTTATCTCACTGAAACAAAAAACACACAGTCTATGGCCCTTATCTATTTCTGCAGATTAACTTAAACCTCAAACAAAAGATGAATATTTTTCAAGAACACTTTAACTTTTTATGAAAAATGGCCAGTCTCTTCGCGAACGAAGAACCGGGGAAGGTCTTTACACCTTCCAGCCTGCGCATTGGATTTTTTAGGTGAGACACAGTGGGCGCGGAACTGAGCCCACCCTTTAATCCTGAGGTTCATCTGCCGGGGCCAAGCACGCTTGGACGGTGGCAGCGAGGTCCTCAGGACGTAGATGGATTGCTTTATGGGCTAACGAGCTCCATCTGCCCGGGGAGGGGCCCCGACCGGGAATCGAACCCGGGTCTCTGCAGTGACAGAGCCTGTGTTGCCATCTTTCCCATTACTGCTGGCTCTTTAAATCAGTGTGGAGACACTACCATTTAATGAAGGAAAAATGGTACAGTTACTGTGACACTTTGTGGTTCTGATTTTACAGCCTTTCTTCACACAACTTTAGCAGTGGTAACAAGGAGCTGCCCTACTTTTCTTTTTTAGGAGTATTTTTCCAAAACACATCAAGAGAGGGAGCCTGGCTACCCCACTTCCCCTGAAAAACTTTGTATTTTCTTCACTAAAACCTTCTTTTGCTGAGAAAGAAGCTAAACTCAGGCCAGACTATGCTAACAGGCCATAGAGCCCAGTGCATAGGAATCTTCTCCAAGGATGTAAAATGTCAAGAATAATTCCCTAGACCTGCCTTGGCTGGCCACCTCAGATGTGGGCACGTGACCATGTGCCTATGACAAATACTCTCTTCCCCCTCCTCACACAAGTGTTTATTTCCTTGGAAGAACCAATCTGATGGTAGGAGATAATCAGGATTGTCTCTCTACATATAATACAAAATTCTTTGTGTGTACCTATTTGTGTCCACTGTATACATGCCTACAGTTTTAACTCCTGAACATGAAAGAACAGATTTAAAAGGCATTGTACATATAGCAGAATACCCTGAAGCCAGTTATGAAAGTTCCCATTTCCCACCTTTGTCTTTAAGCATCTACACAGATCTGAGGGATTTCAAAGGGGAATTTTTATAATCCTGTTCTGTGCCTATTTGCATTTCAAGGCAATTAAGACTCTAAAAATATCCCCAACAGGCACTGATACCAGGAGAATATTCTGTATCATTAATGGTTATTTAGTTTTTCTTAAGGCTTCCTTTATATTTAGAACCCATTTGGTAGAATCATAGGATAAATTAATTAGGATTAAATAATACTATGACTCATCAACATACAGGAGTTCAATGTATACTTCAACAAAAAGGTGCTGCTGCTCCTTGTTCCAGTGGTATTCCTCCTGATAGCTGGCAAGTAAGGTTCTTTCTTCTTTCAGCTTTGACTTTTCACCGAGTCATCTTCCTTACTCAGTGTGCCATAGCTTGAACTGTGAGAATCTGGTTGTATTTTCCCTGTCAATTTGTGTCCTAAGGAAATGTTGTGAGAGAAGGGAAAAACAAGAACTCTATAAAGTATTTTAATAAAACAAATCCCCCACCAACCCATCATTTAAACATTCTTTGCTCTAGCAATCATAGTTTTCATTTGACTGGTTGTAACAACAGTTTGAAAGAACTCTGAAAAATTCTTTGAAAAATCTGTTGGGAACAGGAATAGAAATTAAGAGAACAGTATATTTATTAAATATGACTAGAGAACATTTGTGACTCAATTCTCATAGGTCATCCCATTATCTGATACCTCATTTAAACAGAGACAGAAAAAAAGCCCTACATACCAGGAATATGTCCACAGTCAATAAAAGGAATTTGTAAATGCTCCTCTTTTTTATTTCTTGCAATTATAAACACACCAAGGAACGACAGTAGACACCTGCAAAATAACAGTGGCAGAGTATCATTAGAAACAGTTCGCTGCATCTGAGATGAGAATTTCTTTCCATGTTTCCTTTTCAAGGACTTCCAAACACAAGTTGCTGAGTTTATAAAGAAACACTTCTTCCTGGCAGCTCTATAAATTTGTTTTGGGCTTTCTTTCAGTCTAGTTTTTGCCTCCTGAAACTTTATAATCAGTTCCAAAAGCTCCACAGCCAAAACTACACTTTCAGCAATATATACCTAATCAAATGACTGTGAATGTGAGACCACAATATTTGAATCCCTCAGCAAATCTTCACAGAGTATCCAAGCTAGCATTCTAGCATGTGCAATTTCATTAACAACTCAGTCTAGCTGCAGACAATCAACATCTCTGTTGTTTTTCTCATTTGACTGTGTGTCTCAGGGGCAAGCTGCAAGCCAGAAGCAATGAAAAACTGCTGTGGTTAGACAAATCTTCTATCCGCTTTATGTTGGACACACTACCCCTAATTCCTATCTGCCAAATACATAGTTGCTCATCTCCAGTTTTGTCTTTCCCTCATCTGCAGTCAGACAAGATAGCAGTTTTGTGCACCTACTCCAGCCCAACTGCAGAAGACGAAGACGTCTGTAGCTATCAGCCCCATTTATTTGACAGCACTGTGCAAGACACCTCCAGCAGTTCTGTGAGATGCTTTTAACCATCTCACGCCCATTATCAAGGAACTGTTTTCTGTCCCAAAAGTTGTTATGGTGCTGAGAGCCAGCAGAAGGTTCCTGCTCTCACAACACTTAGGCCACTCTTCAGGAATTCATTTAGCGTGCTCTGGATTCCTCTGCAGGCACACTGTATCTTTCTTGACACAGGAAGGTGGGAGAGAGTTATTATATTATTCCCTCATAGGCAAGCAGCTCAAATAGTTGCCCATGCCTAGCAGCAGCAAAGACCAACCAGACACATAAATGGAAGGTAAAATGGAAGGAGATGTCTCACAGTTGTAAAAGCATCCCCTATAACTTGATGTTTGGTGCAGAGCAGTGATTTCTCCTTCCTGCTAGAGTAACACATGCTGTTTTTTTTTCATTCCATCATGAGATTAATAGTTCATAAGTATCTCACATTTTTACATATTTGGATTCAAAACTGGGCTCCAAGCGCCCAAAGCACAGACATCAATCTTTTTCTTTAGTGGTTTTTTATCCTACTATAATGGCTATTCCATAATACTTTAATAACAAGGAGGGTTTCTTCTTACTGAGAAAAGAAGGCACAAGGCAATGCTGTTTCAGACAAACTGAAACAGTGCAGATTTTAGGCTGATACACTTACCCGAACAGAAACATGAACACACTCAGGAAAGCTGCACTTTGGAATTCCCGATAAAATACGACCCCTGGAATGTGACAGAAACAAGAATTGCAGATCTTGACTGGCTTCCAAGTGATATGAATTACAGCTGGGAGGGTCAGGAGCAGTGTCATGCTTAAATGGAGCAAAAAAATCCCAAATAAGGTATTAATGCACATTGTGATGTGTTCACTTTATGTGCTCATATTCTATAATCTAGGCTTTTTCAAGATACTGCATGGGATTGGTGAAGATTTAGTCAATCAGGTTGGAACATGTGCTGGGTTAGTAACTGCACAGATGCACTTATTTTTTGCATTGTCAGCAACAGTTTTTATGCAGGTCAAACTCAAGGTCTTATTCACAAGCAGAGGCATACCAATATAGCTAAGAGGTTCTTCATGGATTTCGTTAAGCTACTCCAACAGACCAACTCCAATTGGGAACAGATTTTCAATAACTAACTGTGTCCCTGATGTTTATACCAAGTTAAGGGCTCCAGCAGCCAAGTTTGCCAAATCTTTCTGGCTGAAGGGATCACTAGCTCTTTCTGGTCACCCCTCTTCCAGGAATTAGCACCTCTGTAGTGGAGGTGACAGAACCAGATGTGTATCTGGATCTCAGCTGCCCCGATTAGCAGCCAACTACATTAGCTTTAAACCACTGATGAGCATAGCTCTGCTTAGAAACGCCAGTGTGAACCAGTGCAGCTGAAGTGTGATTGTGTCTTCAAAGGCTGTAAATGGGGATGGGGGTGGCATGAGACAAGGTACCTTCTATGAGCACCCCAGCAAGATTCAGCAGAGGTTGTTCTTCTAAGCCCTACACTGGTTTAACTAACCTGGTGCAAATACATGTGTATCCAGTCTCAAAGCTATTAAGCCATTCCTGAATAGGTACTTGATCCCTTAAGGAGGCACCAGGCCAAACTCCCCATATGGTCATAGGAATGCAACCCCTTTTCGGCACAAGTCTCCTCTCAGTCACAAAGTGTAGGTCTCTTCTAACACAGGTGCTGAGGCAATCTGTGCACGAAGCTAACTCCCCTTCTCATTAATGGCAGCTCTGCATGAGAAACTCTGCACGGCAATGACAGGAAAGCCCCCAGTGTGTGTTAAAATGAGTCATAAATGTTCTAACAACACGATCATTTTGGCTCGTTGCTGATACAGCATCTTAGTCGTCCTCCCTGCTCATGTTCTGATGCTGCGCACCATTTCCAAGATTTGCAGTCCCTCTTTAACAATGCCGAGTTCAAAGTTCTCACCCAGAATAAAATGTTAAATGCTTAAAAAGTCTTTGGAGTAATTTTATTTCCTTCACTTAACCCAGAATTCCACCTTCTGAAACAGAATATACGCTAACTACTATGAAACACAGCTGGTTGTCATTTGAGTAGTTTGCCAGGCCATTAAAATTACTCTACCAGTTCGTATACAGAGAGGCTGGTGTGCACATGGTAAATGCATTTACTGGATGTCAAGATGAGGCTAGGATAAATGCAGGTACTTCTAGTAAGCCAGCAAGACACAGTAAATCACACATATCTATTCTGGAAGAGCTAGAATTTGATTATTTTTCATAGAAAATAGGTTTGTGTTGGAAGGGACCTTAAAGATAATTTAGTTCCAACATCCCTGTCATTTATTTTGCTTCAAAAGTTGTGAACTTGTTTATTTTTTAGAACTTAAACACCTGTGACTTAGGAAAAACTTTTTGTGAAGAGAAAAAGCATGGCTGATTTGGGTTCCTGTTCACAGGTAGTAATTCTTGAAAACCTGATGTTTAGAACATCATTCTGTAGAGGCAGAAGGCTGGAAACAAACCTGAAATGATGGCACTGGTGGTGAAGAACACAAAATTAATGGGCACAACTGCTGTTGCTTCATACAGATGGATTGCTTGATTCAAGAACCTGCAAGACAAGCATTATTGCACCTCATGCCTACAGGAGGTTCCTTGCACTTGAAGTCAGGTTAAGCCACTTTATGTCAGTTTAACAATAAGTGTGACCATTTCTTACCACAATAGCCCTAACCAGCATACGTGTACTGAATTTACTTTCTGGTTTTGACTCTGCAGAGTTCAAACAAGACACAAGAGAGCTGGCGTGGATCCTTCTGGCCACAGGCCGTCAATGGACATTTTTTTGAAGCATTTTTGGAAAAATTTTGTCTGCCACAGATAAGGCAGGAATGCTAGGGTATTATTTCTTATGGTCTGCATTGGTTCTTGGAAGCAGTGCTGCCTGCAAGCATCCAGGGACAAGTTGCTCTAATTTAAACAGGTTGTGTAAGGGTATATTTACACCACAAACATGAACATGTGAGTCCTTGTAGGAACTGTTTCACTTTGCTGAAGTCCACGTTGCTGCTACTGCTCGATCCAGCTTGGCTGAAACACCTATTTGTATGTTTATCCTTGCAATCACACCCCAGAAACATTCTGTCCTGCCGGGAAAGTCCAGGAAGATATCTCCAAGCCTGTGCTCCTTGGGCTGGAAACTGTCTGCTGTGCTCTTCAGAAAGGCAACATGAATCCTCACCAGATTCACGAGCAGGAGTGTGCAGGACCACAGGAGCATACACTGCACACAAACCTGCAGGGTCGAGAAACTGGCCATGGAGCAGACTGTGCAGTCTTCATCAGCAGATTGAAAAGGCAAAGCAATTAACTCACTTTCACAGAGACAACAGTTATCAACATTTACCCACAGAGTGATGAACCATGAGTGTGAACTTGTGGATGCACCAGCAGATACTCTGTTATGTGAATGGTGCATTTCAGACCAAAAGAGAAAAATCAGGAGCCTTCAGAGTATATTCTAACCCATAAAAAGAATCACACTTAAATGTTTCACTGGCACAATATATGTGCACAGTAAAAATCCAAGCTTGGATCTGTTTTAGTCATTAAAGCAATTGCATGGTTATTTTAGCAACTGTTGAACAGTCTCCATGGTGCTTTAAAAATAAAGAAATCCTACATATCCACAGGATAGTCAGGATTTCGAAGTCATTGAAAACACCTCATTATTTTCTCCCATTTGCAACAAACTTGGTCACAGGGACTAAAACAGTGATACTAAGGCACAGCACTGAATCCAGGAGATTGTTCCAGCACAGGCTGTTCTGAGCTAACACATGACAGTCAAATAAAATAAGAGAGGAAACAAATAAAATGAAAAATTTAGACTGACAGTACTGTCCCCATTAGAAAATGCATCTAAGAGAAAGAAAGAAAGGGACACTGAGCCCAGGGAATGAAATGAGCACATTGCACTTCTGTTTTAATTTTGGCACAGCAAAAGAAATAAAGAACAACTGGAAAGACAGAGGTTAATTCAGCAGCTTCCTATCTACCAAGCTCTTATTTCCTATTTTAAATACCCTGAGCTGTTCTTCCAGGGAAGACAAGCTGGATGTAAATCACTCTATAATCTGTTACAGGGGAGTTCCTGAGTCAGCCATGGAGAGTCACTGCATAATAATGCATGGACTTTCTGATTCCACATGGGAATGGTATGTTCTGCCATGAAAAAGCTGGGTTGGCTCTTCTACCGGAAAATAATCATGCAAGTAAATACTCAGGCTCACACTGGAGCAGTCTAGATGAGATTACTGAATGATGCTATCAGCACCTGAAGCAGAGGGAGAGGCATAAAGGAAACAGACTCTCTGTTCAGCTGCAAGACATATTTTACCACGCTGCCATACCCAGCAATCTGCAAAGGCAGCATAAACCAATCCTGTAACAGATCAGAGGCCTGCAGGGAAAACTTGGATGTCCCCTGCACACCAAAGTTAACTATTTCCTAGAAAGGTATAGACATTCAGGACAGCAAAGTGCAACATGCAGATTTAACAGAGGCAGGGAGAAAGTTTGGATAAACTCTCTTCTTCAGTCTGACTGGTAACATAAAGCTGGGGAAAAGAGATGCATAATGAGGATAACATGGCCATTTGATTATTCAGGAATAAAGATTTCTAAAAGTAACACCCAAAAGATTACATATACATACATTTCATTTAATAAGTTAAGACCTGTGCCAAAACTAGTCAAGCAAATTTGGGAAGGCCTTGTAGAAGGTGATAAGGAGAGGAGGGAGCATCTATAACAATCAATTATAAACTAAGAAATAAAGCCTAAATAAGCAATACAATCAGCTGGAGACAATAAATGCATCTGTCAAGGCTCTGCCAGGAATTTCTTGCCTCAAAACGCAACTTGTATCTACAATCATTATCAGTACCAAATAAAACTCACAGATAAAATGTGTATGAAGGTTAGGAGATAAGTAGAAGGTCACTTACTTGACTTGAAAAGCGCAAGAACTTGCCATTAAAGCAACCATGATATAGAAAATGGAGTAAGTTAGCTGCATTTTCCCCTTCACAGAAAGTGTTATCATACTGGACACAGCCTTTACAGCAATGACAGTTATTGATGCTGAAAGGGAAAGGGATAGATTAGTGGGGCAGGATTCACAGCAGTGACCTCGGAGCATCAGGGAGAGAGGACAAGGTTCCAGGTCTGATTACCTAAAATAAGACTGAGGTAGGATCTGGGCACCTAAAACCAAGAGTATAATTTTATAAATGCTTGCTAAGCTACGTCAAAACCCAGAGTGGCCTTAGCTCCATATGTGCTTGATGTTTTGCTTTTAAGTTTTTGTAGCACATTGGACTAGAAGTTGAAGGTGGTACAACAGCCCTCTTGACTTCTATACTTTATTTAGCTCCAGCTGCTAATTTGAAGCCCATGTTGCATTATTCAGGAGAGGTCTGAGAGGTCTGGCTATCTGTTCAAAGCAGTTAGGACACCTCTTAGTAGCAGCCTGCATGTGACACTGCATGTGAAGAGTTATTTTAACTCTTCACCCTCAGGATTTCTCTGCTGAGATGGGAGCTGGCCAAAGCTGACTTATGGGATCACATCCCAAAGCTCCTATCTATCTCTCCCCATGGGTTATGTATGGAGGGCAGACAACCAACACAGGGGTCTGCACTTTGTTTCAGGGCTGGGGCTCTTAAAAACATTTACAGGACTTAGCCCATAGAACAGAATATTTCAGTAGTGTGTTGTCAATCCATTGAATCACTCATTGCATCACCACAAACAAATATCAGACAGCAGGCGAGGGTTTTAAGGCAAGTCAGCGGTTCACAGAAGTCTTGCAAGACAGGTCTTTTAGAAAAAGAGCTGAGAGTTTATCTAAGAGTTACTTTAGGTTTCCCTTTGGAGTGGGCTATTGGTTTATTGAAGCTAACCCAAGTAGGCTGTGATTACTGCAAATAAAATGTAACAAATTCAACAGAAACTAAAAATTTTAAGAAGAGTCAGGCTGCAGAGATGACCTTTGAAGAAAGGTAATTAATTGTCAGGAGCACTGTTCCCCAGCTGGGATCCAGTTCCACCTTGGTGCAGAGCTGAGGAGTGTTGGATTTCAGTGGTCTGATTCATCCTCCTGTAACTGCAACATTCAGATTGGCAAGGAGACCTGCACTATGCAAAAAAGTTCAGGCCAAGGTTGGGAGAAAAGGTGGAGGAAGAAGAATGAATTCAGGTCTGTGGTTTTGACTGTAAGTATTTTTCTTATAGCGTCCTAAAGTTCAGGAAGAGTTTAAGAGTTGCGCACATTTTGTGATGGTCCTGTTCACCACCATGAAATTCATTGTTTTCATAACAACCTTTCCACCAAGTACTTCACTTCTTTCTCTGTAATAGAAACAGGTGAAGTGGTTTAACAAACACAGCTGTAACACCGAGCAGAGGTCAAATGCTGGCCTGCAGTGGTGCAAATGGTATGATAAAAAGTCAAAAACATACTCAAGCCCTAGCAAGCAATGCACATAAAAACTGAGATTTGCATTCTAACATGGGGGAGCTATTATTTTAACAGAACACTTACAGGTAAAAATTAGTAGTTTGAACTGTCCACCTAAGAGTAAATTCCTGAAATTTTTTTTCTGACGAAAGGGCAGTTTCCATGCCTTATAATTTTAATAAGGAGAAAAGAAAGCAACTGGGGGTTTTCGTTTGTTTTGTTTTGTTTTGTTTTGTTGGTTGGTTTACTTTCTTTGAAAAGTGGAATGATCTTTTTTGCTAAATTAGCTCTGGAATATGTTTCAAAACTTAGGAAATGGTTTTCGTTTCTCTGTTGTAACGACCTCCCTTCAAGGCTAGTGTAACAAATGATGTCACTTTCCAGCTGTTAGGGCAGAAAACTCTGAAATCCCACTTTAATCTGAAATATTTCCCCTCAAACTTATGATAACTGTCAGTATATGCATGAGGTAAGATAATTCTCACCAAATGAATTTGCAGTTATACTGAGCAAAACATTTTCAGATTTTATGATCACCTCTGTATTTTCTTCATGATGAAAGTAGCTTGCATATCCAGTGAAATGCAAGGGCTGCCCTCTTTTTAAAGAAACCTTTCTACATTTAGTTTACATCTGTATGAACACTCCACCAGGAATGAGTCTGAACGGAAAAAGATGAAATCCCGTTGTCCAAACTGCCAACAGGACCCCAAGCCTCATCTACTCTTCCAGCAGGCAGGGCCTTCAAAAGGTCACATGTAAGACAGCTGGGAGGAAAGTTAGTGGGCAATTTCTCAACCCCTCCCTCACTTTGCTCAGCAGAAAGGTTGGAGACCAAGAAGAAGGCTCTAAGTGTAACTTTGTGGGGACTGCCAGGCACCACCACAGCCGTAGGAACAGAGTCAGATGAAATCCTGCATTTCATCTTCAAGGGAAATGTCAGTATTTCAGAAGTTCCCATAAACCAGGATTTGTTTGTTTGTGTCTTTTTTAATAGAGCAGAAGTAATGACACATTTTTCCTCAAGCTGCATATGCTCACCAAGACCTCAGCAGCCACCAGCTGAAATTGTATTTTTGGTTGTTTGCAGCCTGACTGCCAAGCTGCAGTTGGTGCCTGCTGGGGCACGGGTTTGCAGCCCTGCTGCTGTTCAGCACCTCCACGTGTCCCTTTCACACTGGCAGCATCAGGGCTGTCAGGCTCCGCAGCAAAGTAAGCATGCAGGGCTACACAGATGAAGCACCCAGGTCTCCTGGAGCTGTGTGTGTTGACCTTGCTTGGGGCAGCCCTCAAGGTGGGTCTGAGGTGGGACCAGAATTGTGGTGGGGAGGTGTAGGAGCCCACCTGGAGATCTTCAGGTTCCAGCTATGCAACAAGCTATGCAACTCATTAGGAGTGCTTAGCAGTGGTGTCCCATAAGGGTTTCATGGAAAAGTGGTGAGATAAGGATCGGACAATTTGCCACATGGGGTGGTGAAAATTCTTAATAGAAGCAGTGGAGCTTCAGAGATAACCTCCTGACATTTCTCAAAACTGACTCAAGCTTAACTTTATTGAAAGCTACCTGATCAAGTGACCTCCCTATTTCTCTGGTTATTGATTGTGGTGACAGTAATCACAAGACAAACTTCTGTGGCCCACTGAGTTCTTGTTATGCTTCTGGAAAGGTGGTAAAATACTAAATGTTGCATATGCAACATAGATACCAGTCACTGATAATTCAAAGAAAAGTTGTTGTATAGTCACAGCATATCACTGCATTTGTTTAAGGAGTGTTTACAAGGTCTTAAGCTGCTCTGTTTTAAAGAGTTGATTTTCACAGCCTGTTCTCCAAACCAAATTTTAAAACAGTCAACTTTTCCAGGATCTAAACCTAAAGTGTTATCTAGAAAAAAAAAGCTTCAGAATACTATTCCACCCAGCATAGTAATTTCAGGGTATCTGCAAAAAGAAATACTCCCAGCAATAAGCATAGAAACTATGTTTCATAATCAACTTTTCTCTCCAAGAAGAGACCCCAGTGAAAATCATGTGAAATGTTTCAAATGTTTCTCCTTCAACACACTGCTTTGAAATGGCCCTAATCTAAACTAGCTGAGAGACTGAGGGACAAGGAATTATCAAGTAACAGACAGGAACATTAAAGTGAATAATATGTTCTTACCCAGTAGTGCTACCATCATTAACAAAACCACAATGTGTTTCACAGCCTTTCTTTTGTAAAAATAGAGGAGAATGCAGAATATTAAAATTTCTAAGATCTGAAAAAAAAAAAGAAGAAAGTTAGAGCTGTGAAATTATGTAGTAAAGGCTTCATTCAAAGTCTGATGTCACATCAATTTTCATTGCATCTTCTGATAAAAATTAACTTTATTGCCCGTTGACTGAGCTATCGAACAATTGTTGTCATTTATCTTTCCTATTATAGCAGAATTTAAACTGAGCATTTCTTATTTCTTTAGTTTTTCTTTTTGCACTTCCATCTATATTTTATTGCTAGCAATGCTGAGAAGACTTTTTTAATGTGACAGCAAAGGTACCCATATTTATTGTAATAATTCTTACAGAAACTCTGTTTATAATTCCTATGGAGTAAAGCACTTAGCTAAACATAGAGCAGCCTCTACTTTTAGCTATGATATTCTCAGTGTCACTCTTTGCCATGTGCAACCTCATTTATCCTACCCTTTTTGCCCCTCTAACCATTTCTACTAAAAACTCTCTTCAAAATTTTGTCCAAATTTTCTGCCATACATCAAATGGAGGAAAGCATTTCTTTCATACAGTAGTTCTCAAATCAAAGGTACCTGACAGAAGCTTACCTTGCAAAGCTCAATGGCACACTAACAGACCACACTGCAGCTGCAGCAGCATCTGCTGAAGCAGCTTTACCTACGCCACGCATGGTCTGGTTTTGCTCCTTCAATAACATGTGACAGCTAAATGACAGACAATTAAATTTACTGACTTGCTGTTAATGTGTCTCTGCAGATTCCCTCAGTAACTCTTGCCTTTTGCAATCTCAAAAGTGTGGGTATTCTCCCCCTCTGTGTCTAAAGAAAGCACCAAGTGCAAGAGCCATAAAGCTTCTGTGAGGCCCAGAAGGCTTAGGAAAACAGGGGTAATGGACTTTTGCACTGAGAGGTGCTCAGAAGCCTGGTAGCCTTTGAGACAGCACGAAGAAAGAGACGTCTCAGTCCTGCAGTAACTTGGCCAGCATCCTCAGCTTTATTCAACAGTGCAACACTGGGTATGTCTAAATCAGGAACCAAGACAGAACACATGGTAAGATTTGCAGACAGGTGAGTTTATCTTGTCCTCCCTTTGGAAAACTAAGACAGGGTTTTGAGGGAATTTGAGAGGAGAAGTAAAGGTAAGCAGATTTGCTCTTCATGCCACTGGCAAACACATCTTAGGGCCAGCACAGAATACCACATTATCAGGCTGCAGCTACAACAGCCTCCAAATGGCTTCAATTGCTATTTTGACAGATAATTGATAACAGAACAGAAGAAAGATGTGCTAAATAAACAGTTCATGGCTGCTTCTGCCTCCTGAGGAAACCCCAAGAGCAGAAGTGGTATAGGGACGGAGATGGCAGTCCTGTGATCAAACCTAGAGAGAAAAATGTTTGCTTTTCAGGGCTGTTATTTAAGTTTATTCAGCTCTGCCAAGTCTCAAATACTATGCATGAAATTCAAACATTAGTTGTCACCTAGTGCCGCCCAGCAGCCAAACTATTCTTCCATGGTTCTTTGGCACTTGGTAAACCACTAACAGGCCACCTTTAATCACAAGACAATGGAGAATCTACAACAATTAAGCCACACTGCAAGCAGAATGCATGGCTCCTAACAGGACCTCACGTAGACAGGAGCCCTCCTGGGGTGCCTCAGCTGCTGCCTATGACTGTCTCCTGAGAACTACCCAGAACAGTGCTTGCTCTCATAGCTTAAGCAGTGTTAAATATGAACTCCAGGAACGGGAAGTTTCACATATTCTGTTTAGATGAATTGAAGGAACGTGACCTGTTTACAATGATCTTGGCTACTGTAACTAAACTCTACAGAAGTCTCCTCAAGCCCTCATCTCATCAATACTTTTTTATAATCATGACGGTTTTCATCTTTTTAAGCGTTATCAGAAGGCACCAGAACGAAATACCACCTTGCCTGCTTCAAGTGTTTTCCTGGCATATACAGCAACCTAAAGACCAATGAACCAGGAGGGTCTTCTAAGCACTTTGAAAGAAACGCAGAAATGCTTTGAACCTGATTTTGCAGATATTAAATATTAACAACCCAGTAGTTACCATGCTTCTGTTTAGGGAAACCTAAGAGCTTCCTCTATAATTTATGTTATCTGTAGCAACTCAAGGTGCACATAAGCAAAAGAGAACAAAAAGCAAGCTAGGCTATTCATTCTTGCTCAGACATGATTATGCTACTGCAAAGTCTCAGAAGGTGACTCAAAGTTGTCTTGAGGGAATTAGAGGCTATTTCTGCATAATATACCAGTGGGGAGTGCCACGTGGGGATGGTTTACCACCCACAGAGAACATTTTGTACCATCGGGGCTTTGTATTTCTCAGCAGACAACACTTTGGGGCTACTTTTAGAAAGCCTGTTGTACTGCGTTATACTTCTGAACTGTCTCCTCACTATATATTTATATTGGAAGCTCTGCAACTTCTGCTGCACTTTTTTATAACTCAACAGCCAACCTGTGCTGGGCGTTCTACAAACAATTATGAACAGCTAGCTCCCTGCCCAAAGAGAATGTGTACAACATGGTTTGGTTGATTTTCCAGCGGTATACCAGGATAATCAGTCCAGTATCTCACAGTCTCTTGTGGAGGCATTCACTTCTCCCTCCCTTTTCTTTGAAGAGAAGAAGCCCAACACAGATGAATCCAGGGAGCAGAAGGAACAATAAAGCTTGACATATTGTTGAGTCAACAAGATTTGCTCTGTACTTACTCCATCCCTCCCTACGACCCATGCTGTACATGTAGAATTAGATGCTGGTTGAGGCAGGGAAAAGTAAGAAGAAAGTAAAGAAAGTCCAGGAGTTACCTACCGCTACCTCATAATGTCTTCTAAGAATAATACAGCACAGTCTTCCTAGGCATTCGGTTGTGTTCTTACAAACTTTTCTAAAACAAAGTCCAAAAGTCCTCTGATGGGGAAAAGCCCTTTTCCAGCAACCTGATGGTTTCAAGAAAATGTAAATTGCACATCACCCAGAAATTTCTCATGTCACTGGGTGTGGACGGAGAATTTTTTCTCTCCACTATTGCTATACAAATGGGTGAATCAACAATTTAAAATCAGTGCCTAAAACACCACAGGGAAGAGAGAGGGTCCTCCAGAGAGCACTGAGATCCCTCTTCTGAATCCTCTCCTAAAGTAGAAGTCCCTCTTGCTCTGCTGATTGCAGATTGCTGAAGCTCTTGTGGAGGCTGAAGCTACCCTTACTGAGTATCCCAAAACTTTTGGGCACTGCCTTCAGAAGCCTCTCTACTGCCTGATTGAAACTGCATGCTGTGGTTTATACAACATGATTTCTTCTATTGAGCTGTATCACCATCTCTCAGGATCTTTTAAAAGGACCACAAAAATTGAAAGAGAGTTTAAAATGCACAACAAAGCGAAAGAGAGAGGATCAACCTTCTTTTTACAGTAGCACGTAATTTGAGCTTAATTCTACATAGTCTCATGAATGTATGTATGTAAAGTCTGCAGGTTGGCTAAAAGATTAAGGTTCTTAAACTGCCTATTCAGTGGCTTTCTAACTGAGTGTCCTACTGAGAAAAGCCTGGGCATTAAGAATCTAATTCAAGTGAGTCACTTTACTGGGAAAAAAGTAATTGCTTCTGAAGCTTCTGTATTGCATCTTTTACATCCAGCTGGAGGAAAACATTTTCAGCTTTCCAGAGGAAAAGAGAGACAGAAATTCCTCCTACACTCCCTGGTCTTGTTTCTGATGCTAATTAAATACATCAAAGAAGACATATGGTATTTGAAGTTTGTATACAGATACTTTAATCAAAATGGTATTTTTGCATTCGAATTCTAACTCAGGTTAAAGCAGGCCACCCCTTCACATCTCAACTCCATACAAAGCTCCTTTCAGCCAGGCTTAACAACATGGGGGTAAACCAGAGTGATATGAAAGGAAAAAGCAGGACCAAGAGCCTGCACAGCCTTTTTTAAAAAGCACAATTACACTGCATTCCAGAAAAGCCCTTAGCTGTACATGCAGACAGAGTGGCATGAACACATACATAGAAAATATAAGCAGTACCAATATTTAGGTTTTCCCTCAAGATCTCCAAACCCCCAAATCTTTCAATTCTTGTTAATCCTGCACAAGTATGACCTTCCCCTGGCATGTAGCTCAAAAGACATATTCTGGTGCTGCTGGGCATGAGGATGATGACCCAGGGACTTACTCCCTCTCCTATGAAAATCACACAATTTATCCCCAGGAGCAGTTTTTCTGTCACTAATTCATAATGCTGCTAAAGGCCCAATAACCCAAATTTTTCAGACTTAGGGAGTAGTAAGAATCAGATACTCACTGAATATACCAAAAAAGGCCAGCTCACTAAGTAATTCTGTACTTGTCTTGCTGTGAGCTCTTGAGGTACATTTGGAGTGAATGTCACCAACAAGTATGTTCCTGTTACTGTCAGCGTTCCTCCTTTAAAGAAAAGGATACGTTATTTTGGTAATACAGTATTTGGCAATCATGGTCATCCTTGCTCTCCAGTTGATTTGGAAATAGTTTCTAGAAGAACATTTAAGTCCGTTTAAGCACATCTGTGCTTAGATAATTGGATTGTCTTGCATTTGTGGTCTTATCTAGTCTAATTTTTATTGAAGACTCAAAGAATTTTGGAAATGTGAAAAAAGTTGTCAGTAAAGCCTTATGAATTTGGGTTACAATTCAACAAAGCATTTTCAAATATTCTCAACTCTAAAACCAAGTGTATGACAAAGCAGAATCAATCCTTTATATTTCTCACAGGCCCAAAGCGCATCACATAAGCTTAGCCTAGACTGAAAGGACAAATTGCTTACTGGTGCAGTCAGCTAGATCATTAGCCAGTGTAAATAAACATAACTCTCCCAAAGTCAGTGTGGCCACTGAGATCCACACCAGCTATCGACATTAGATGCAACCCATATGTTACAGTCAATGCTTACGTGAAGCTGTCACGAGGCCAATATTTTGGCCACTCCCTGTTGTATTTTCAAGCCTATGTACTGTTTTATAAAATGTTGATTTCCAAAGACTATTCAGCCATTAGGTTGCCAGGGCCCCTTTTCAAGGTCGAACTTGCATTACTGTGCTTTTAATAAAAATCTGGAAGTTCTGCCTTGTGGACATCCAGCTGACAAACACAGATGTTCACTGAAGTATCGAGATATAAGTGAGCCGATCCTGAGCTCATAAACTGTATTGGATTAAGGAAGATATTAGCTAATCAATTTTTCTTCAAGTAATCTTTAAAATTCTTGGCAAACCTATAAATTGGTGTGCAATACAATGCTCAGGAATACAAAACAAAGCACATCCGGAGGGCTTTGCTGGCACTGTTATCTCACACAGCTCCTTTGAAAAAGCAGAACTGTTCTATATTTATGTGCTTGCAAAACCATCACCATATTTCCCATCATACAGCTCATTCCTATGGAATGTAGCGACATTGTTAAATCCTTCTTGCAAAGTCAAACTCACAGAAATAAAATAAATCAGTGCTGAACACTAGTTAAAGCAACACACAGTGTATAAGGCCATAAGGGAAACATGATCAGTGAAGGGAAGGGGGGTTTTGAATATAGCAGCTGAGCTGGCAAACTTGGATTCCAAACCTAAATAAATAGTATATAGTATTCCTGGAATGATACTGAACAGATCTCTCCAAAACATTCATGAGAACAGCTGTCCTCACTATAGTTTGGACAATCAGGCCTAAAGATGTTAGGAGTGCACAGAAATATCAGGTGCCCCGCATCAGGTGTGCTGTCGCAGTTGAGAAGGCTTGGTGTGAAGCCAAACCCTGAAATGTGCTTGTCTCTCACCATTGTTGTGTTCAAGGTGGGCAGTTTTGATATGCAAAAAAATCTTGGACACAGACAAAAAGTGAAGACCACATTTCTCAACAAAACACTTGGCAACATGATTATTTGTTCTTTGAAGTGATAAAATTAATACCTAAATGGAAGCTATCCCTTTTAACTGAGCTTGAATGTTTGTGCAAGGTCTACGCAGTAAGAAAAGAAATCTTATATTTGAATGAGTAACTCAATAACTTCCCTGTTTTTATTAAAACTGGGTTGTACTCATAAAGATAATACTAAAGACAACCTCAGAGGCAAAAATAGAAAATGAAAATAAATTTGAGCAGTAAGGACACATAAGGAATGAGTTATGGTTGTAGAGCAGAGGATTTGGGAATTCAGTCTTATCCTCCTGCATTGATGATTCTCTCTCTTTTTATCACTTCTTCCCAATTGTGAAAGTATCTGCCTTGAAACACTTGCTTGGGTAAGTGGGAGTGTGAAAGTGGGGGGCTATGTGAGAGTTACAGCTTGCTAAGCATACGGCAGCACACATGTCCATATTAGCAAACGCTTACTTACCCAATATATCAGCAGTCCTCATGGTCTTCTTTAGGAAAAAGATAGAAATAAATGCACTACCTAGAATAGAAATATAAAGACCTTTTATATATATGTATATATATATATATATATATATATATATATGCTATAATATCAAGTGCTATAGCAAAAATCTGCCTTGGGCCAAGTTTAAATATATCTCATGACTACTGTTGTTGCACCATACCGTGCCAGGAGTCCATTCCTACAACCAACCAGTGATCAGGTTTTGTAATATTTCAGATATATCCAGCAGACTCTTACGTGGTTGAAAAGATGCAATACCCTTCCCATCTCCCAAGCAGACACTGCTTAAACTGCTCTGATTCAGTCATATGTGCAAACGTCATGAAAACTGGGCACCGATCAGCCTTACTGTTTCACTCCCCATTTTGCTACCAACTCACTATATGGACTTGCTCAGGGCAAACTGCATCATGGAGCAATAAAATTCTGCTTATTTAGAGGCTTACAAGTAAAGTAACTGCAGTACAATTGAGAGGAAGAAAGCCACTGCAAAAGCATAGCATTTAATATGAACTGAGAGAGTGGTCATGATGTCTGCTAACAGACAGGCAGAAAGCCCCACATATGTACCCTTGTACTGAGGAAGGAGAAAACCAGAAGTGAGCCCTGGAAATGAGCTCCTATTTCCTGGAAAACACTCTCTTTTGTTCAGCTCTTGCATCTGCCCTCTGCCAGCTCCTAGCCCTGCCTGTTTAGGGTGGGAAGTAGCAGGCAGGTGAACAGCAGCACTGGTTGGGTCAGGATTTCTGATAAGCAACCCAGTGTGGATACGTGCTAGAGAGAAAAGGAGTCTGAACTTAAAATATTGGCTACCTAGGAGAGATGGTTCCATTCCAGCACACAACAATAGAGTATCTACCTCTAAAAAGAAGCTAATGAGGCGGGTAGCTCCTATGTAAAAGAGATGAGGAAAGTCCTTTGGGAGAGGTGCATCAGTAATGTTGGATTCATTTCGAAATCTCAAAGAAAGCCTCTGCCCAGGAGGAATGGTGAACCTAAGTCATGGGATGCTGTTACAAGGGCTCTGTTCCTGCCCACAACATGAAATTATTGTTTGATTCTTGAAACAACATTTCAATCTTTTTGCAACTATCTTTGCATCATTACCTCTATTGTTCTCATGGAAAATTTGATTTGTGATTAGCTAGTAGATGCACTCTAGAGAAATATGGAGAGGTATACACCAAGACATAAACAGAGAAATGGAATTCAGCATCACACCTGTGTTATCCAGCCAGTAGAAAATCAGTTCTAGCGGAAGTTATAAAGTTAAACTGTATCAAGAGCGATGGAGACCTATACAAATGAATAAGTGCAATAAAAGAATCTTCAGCTGAAAATGCCTCACAGAAAGTAAGGTGCTTCACACAGTTTTCTTTATTCAATGTTTCAGTGACAACTTTGCTGGAGCAAAGACATTGGTGGTATCCAGGCAACACTGGTAATAGCAGAGCTACCTAGGTTTAGAAAAAAAGAGAGGACAAAAGCCAGGAAAGAAGTAGCATCATCCAAGACAGTGCAGGAATTAATTACTGCTCTGTCTCCCTGCTCTCATAGCTCTCCCAAATCTCACCTCAGCCCACCCACCTAGGCAGTCAGTGTCACAGCAAAGACCTGTTGTTTAAATCACTTATATCTCAGTTTTGGGGGTTTTTTTGAATATTCCTTTGTCTGTCCTCTCTGCATTCAGCAGAGATCTAGCAAATGCAATCTAGGGTTCAATTTCACTGTTGGCATCCAATCTGGGGTGAGATGAGTTATGCCCAGATTTTCAGAGCTCAATCTTCTGGAGATGACAAATGGCAGCTTGGGGGGATCACAACCTCTGAGGCTGGCAGTGGGCACAAGGACACACAGGAATGGAGCCAGATAATGAAGCTTGTCACTCAGCCTGTCATCCACTTTAATAATGCATTCAAATGCAGCCAACTCTGTCTCCAGAGATAGCTGGTAATGCACCAATGAACATGAGCTTAACAGAATGTATGTATAATTAATGTTCTTTATGATGTAGAGTAATATGCAGAGGAATCTAAAAATAGCAGAGGTTTGAAGAACATATATTAGGCCATCTGTGATTAGAGGAAAAACTGAAGTAGGAGAGGAGGTGAAACACCAAGGTGAGGAGAGTAAGACCTGGGAGATACTCTGAGCACAAAAGACAACTGTCCCTGTGGCTAAACTGCCAATGTTCCATGTGCATTCCAGTGAAGAAGAAAAGCAAAGGGGCTAAATCTAAGAGAAGAAGCAGAGAATGGTTACACAGACCTAATGAGATGCTAAAAGATGTACATGACTGATCAGAAGCCTGGCAAACTCTGGCTGTTACCTCCAGGGCTGAATTTTAAGCTAGTTATGGTAGCAGAGCCAAGAGAGCACACTGGCTAACATAATATGTTAATTTATTTTAATTTTCTTAATTTTCTTGGTTTTGAGCTCCCAAGTTTGGCTTTTGGATAGCCTTTCATATTCTTCAATTTTCGAGGTAGGGATGGATCAAGTTAAAGCAAAGAAAACAGGTGGGCCAGGAGGAGGGATATGGTGGGAGCCTGTGAGTTGCAGGAATGCAGGCTGGTGTTTTCTGGTTTTCACTTCTGATGGCTTTGCAGTTTTCCTTGGCTGGCAAGATAAATGGCAAACACCAAAACGTATCCCAGGAGCCCAGTGAGAAATGCATAGCCCTCCCAGCTGTTCTGCTTCTCTTCCTTAACTCCCTTGAGCTCCCACTCAGCCTCAAGTGCATTCAGTTGATTAAGACATTAACTCTTCCAGAAAAGGCAATTCAAGATAATATGTTAAATGGCCAACACATATTCCCTGACATCTCCTTTCTGTTGGGTGGCCTCCAAGCTGATCCTGCTGTGCGCAGGATGTTGTGTTAGGGACTTTCCAAGGTGCCTTCTAACCTGAGTTATCCTAGGACCCTTGAGCTCTTGGCAGGAGAGTAAGTGGGCATCCAGAGGCTACAACTAAGCCTACCAGATATATGAATTTAGGCCCTTACTGTATCCCAAATTCAGTTCCTAAAGGCAGCCCTGCTGAAACTCTCCAGATTCTCCATTTCTTTCCCATCATCCCTCAGATCACAGGTGAGGTGCCTTGCATCTTCCCACCTTTCCTACCCAGTACCAGTGATGTTATTCCTTCACACTTTCCTCCTAGCCCACTTACTCTTCACCTTGATTTCACCCCATAATCACAGCATGAGTCTAACTTCCTACCACCCAGCCCCAATTTTCCCTTTCCCATGCCAGGGTCCTCTTGTTCCCCTTCTGTCACAGAAACTGTGTGCCTTGTTCTCCTCCTCCACCATTACAGTGATGTGGGAAATAAATTACTAAACATTATGTGCAACTCTATGAGTGAATAGACTGAAGAACTTGAGCAATTGCTGTGCCAGAAAGTATTAATATGTCTTTGCAACTGGTTTTTTGTTTGCCTTTAAAAAAAAAAACAACCCAAACCTATAGACAGTTAGAGATTGAGATTCGTGTCAAAGTGAAAAGTAGTCTCTGTTGGTTTGGGTTTTTTTAATTAGTCAGCAATAGAATATAAGAATACAGAAATGCAGACAAACTATGTCAAAGAGTAAGCTGGCAACAGCTCAGCAACAAAACAAGCAATTTATCATTGTTCTGAAGCCTTTCTAGTTTTGAACCACTGGTTTGGGGAATACAACACATGCGCAATTCTAAGCTTGGATTGTCAGCCTTTAAATCACCAGAGCAAAGACTACATTCCTGCTCATCTGAGAAGATTTTTATACTTTTGGGTGAAACAGAACTATTTTTGGCTTTTTAACTAATTCTTAAGGTACAACTTTCAAAAGTAGGCACAGATCCAACTCCAACTCCCATTCCCACTGAGAGTGGTAGCCTGCTAGATCAAGAGAAGGGCAGAAAATCTGTGAGATGATCTTTTAAGGATTAAACATTACAGAACCAACACATCCTAATGTAATCCTTGAGTATGTTTCATGCCTTGATTGCATGCTTATAGTAATATCCATAATTTGAGAAGTAAACAGGTCCTGTAAAATGCTTGTATCTATATGACAAAGCCTTTCTGAATGCTCATGAAACTCAAAGGGAAAATATGACTTGACACTATATCAAAATAATGATAAATAAAAAGGGTGGGAAATGGGAAAAAAAATTTGTTCAGGAGCTGAATTTTTATGTTGAAACAACATCTTTTCATACATCAGCATAAACTAGGCTGTTTTACATTCATTATTGAATGGATATATATTCACTGTATATTGAATGATTATATATTCACATTACTGAATAAACATATATTCACTGCAGCATGTGAATTTCAATTTAAATTGAAAAAACGATTAACAAAATTGAGTTTCTTCAGGATGTGCAATTAAATGCCTTGAGGGAAGGCTGTCATGGTGCTACACACTGCTCATTCTCTTAGGAGAGTGATCGTTTACAATTATCTCCATATGTACATTTTCTCCAGCACAAACAGAAATAAAGAGCGGTGTGATGTGTGGGTTCTGCAACTAGAAGACAATGAATGGTGAGAATCCAGCTCACAAAATAACTCCTCTGCATCCTAGACATGAAAGCTGCAGTTAGGATTGTTTCTCGTTTGTTTCTTTAAAAAAGGAATAATACACAACAGGAGAAGTTAGAGATAGAAAATACACACTGATTCATAGTGCATATTTCTGTATTTGTCCAATCCAGCCTTAAAAACTCAAATGAGTGTCCATCATTTATTTTTCCAACCCAAAACTATTTAAAAAAAAAAAGGTATATTTCACTACCAAGCTGTTTTCCTGATACCATGGCTATTTGTGAATATGACCTTTTAACCTTTTTATTGTCAAGCCTGATACTAAATAATCTTTCACAAACGATCATAACTTCAAATATTAGTATATACCTCCTTTTCCTCTTTTTGATTCCTAGATGAGGTTTCTGTACGAATTAAAAAACATTAGTGTTCTCCTCATAAATGCATAGACTGCCTGTACTGCTTCTGTCTTCTCTAAAAGTTAAAAAAAACATAAATGCATCAAATTTAATATTTGCCTCAAATGCTCGTTTTGTGAAGTGTAACTGATTCAGTCAGGTAAAGGCATTTAAAACTACCCATTCAGCAGAATATTTTGTCCCCATTTCACTGGTGGTCTGGATGAAATACCAAAGGAGGAGTACTAGCCATGATTCAAAGACTATTACACCTCTCCCAGTTTGTACAACAGCATTTCACTTTGAGACCAAGCATTTACTCTGTTTTATAACCTCTTAAGGGTCTGCTTCTGTCTAATCAAGCAGTTTTAAGTTGACCCAGTTGATTTTGTCCTAAATCTCTTGAGCAGTGCTCAAGTTATGAAGATGCAGTTGCTGCCAGTTACGTTTCAAGACGTCATCTGATGAAAAAAAAGAATACAAACATTGAAAATATCAGAGGAATTGCTCAAAAGAGACACTATTAAGGTGAGCTTAATTCTGGAACATGGATTATAGGGCATACAAACTGCAGAGAGAAGGAAAAACTCTGAAAATTCTTTTTTTGCATCTTCTAGATGAGTACAAAAAAGGTTATTTTAAAGAATAGTTTGGTGAACGTTTCCCAGATATCATTAGCAACAGAGTGCTCAAAATTCCAAGTTCTTGGGCTCAAAGGTGTTACATTACAGGGAGTGGGAGAAATCCACTTTTACAAGAATGTCTGAGGATCTTTCCAAAGTACCATCAGTGATATCAATATTCAAACCCTAAAACAATTTCTTGCCCCGCAGCTATTTACAAGGAGCACATAAAAAATGCGAAGGATCTCAGCAATGTCAGTCTAAGTGAGTCAAGTGTAAAGAAACTCTCTACAGCATGATGAAAACTGAAAAAGAAATTATCTCAAATGCCACTGGCCTCTACCACCCCCATGCCTCCACCTCCAAGCTATTTCTGCAGGCAAAAGCAAGATGATGAGCTAAAAACCACTGCCGCCTAAAACTACCCGAGTTACATGTAAAATATGATTTTTATTTTTTAAGTATAGAAAGTTTCTTAATGATCACATCAAACATGTATTACTCCTCCACTTTTAAATTAAAATTTACTAATTTCTCCCCTTGAAGAAAACAACTGCTGTCTTCTCAAACTATTTAAAACCCTGAACAGATGTAGAGCTTGCATCATTGCAACCACACAGAGAAATACTTCCACTGTGTAAGAAGAAAAATATAGCCTTTCCAGCTTAATTCTAAGAAAAAAAAATTAAAATCTATTGGTGCCATGCCAGTTCATGGTCTGTGGTGCTGGATTCTTTTTAAAACCAGTCATTGGAAGCATCCAGTTCAATAGAATGAGGCACAAACTTTTCACTATTTAATTGATACCGGGTTAAGTGCAAAAGGCAGTTGGATGCAGTTAAATGTGGTAGCAGAGCATAATAGATGTTGGCTCCATCTATTTTAAGATGCTTCCCATCTCAGAAGTCTGGAGATATATGATGGGTACAGCTCAAATCCATTCTGGGCAGATACTCCAGTCTGCCTTATCCTCCTCCAAAACCCTGGTTTCCAAGCAAAGGCAACTTTCCATGCAGGCCCAGAGTGATGGAGATCTGCAGAAAACCCCCTAGATGACTGGATATTGTGCAAAGCACATTTCTCCTCAGTAACCATATGTACTACATTCCCAATGTCAGTGAGAGTCAGCTCTTACCATATGGGACGTGTTGACACCGAATTTGGGAAAAAACGCATCTCAGAAGGTCAGACTTAGGGTTCAGATATAAATTTTAAAAATTAACTTATGAAAGACACAAATTCAGCAATACCTCAAAACAACTGCCAGACTCTGCAAAGTCCACTCTCCATCATCTAAAACAGGTCAAAACTTACTAAGAAAAGTATTTTTTATCTTTTAAATTGTAAGACCTGCTGTCTACAGTATCCTTTGCCCAGTTGTTAGCAGATGATGCACATGTGTCTTGCTCAGTTTGTCATGGGCCTACATGATGAACTCTTCTAAAATTAAGAGGATGTTCTCTGGCTTTAATTTCAGAAGACAGGAAAGTAGTAGAAAGCGTTACTTGGAAGTTATCACTATAATTGGCTGTTTACATAATTTTAATTTTCCCTTCTTTAAGGAAACGTTTGCTAGACTAAATAAAATTTCAGGTATGCCTATTGTTTGGGCTATGAAATGGATACTGTCAGCTGATATATGGGAATGGAATATAAGCTATTAAAGTGTTTTTTGGGGTCTTCTTGGATAAGCATTTTGGGTCAGCAAAAAAAAAAAAAGTGGATGAGAATTTTGTTAAGACATAACCATTAGGAAAATAATCTCTTGGCATTTTTTATAAGTAAGGGGAAATGGAGAATGGAAGAATCATCAAATGCAACATTTCTTCACAGTTTGCGAAAATAAAGAAGGGATCTGCTTCGATAAAAATCAACCCTAAATGTGATCTCTTCTTTGTAGCAGTTTAATAATCAATGGGATCTTCCCCCTTCTCACTGCTTTTCACTTCTTCTTTCTCGTTTTCTATATTTGCATTTTATTCAGTTTGGGCAACAAATTAGATTGGTCAATATCCCTTTAGGTTCAGAGATGTGGAGAGGTCTGCAATTGTTAAAGATACAACAACTGCCACTAAAATCACCCTGAGATATGTCATATTAATTTAGATTTCCATCTCAGGTAATACTGCATTCCTTTCTTTGAGAAATCTTTCCTACCACGGTGAACTAACATGGTTGTACATCTCACTCTCTAAAATTCTGCAATAGTTTAACATCAGAGGTTACAGTAAATTGCCTGTAGTTTCTTTTCCGCACTAAATTGCACCCACATACGGTAAGCTGCCTCCTTCCACTACAGCCAGGCAGTCCACTGGGAAGATAATTCATCTTTCTACCTTCCCATGCAGAATCACTCACTGCAATGTCACTCCTGAGTATGAAACTGGTAGCTAGACACAGACCATGAAGTGTTATCACCTGCCAAGAGCAAGTAAATGAGCTCCAGGATATGCATATCTTGAGATATCTCTGCCCTGGATGTTTCAGCTGTGGATGTGAAGTGACTGAGTTAAGGGATGCAGCTGCACCCCAAATTCCTGTTTTCACAGCCTCTGTACAATATCACCCTGTCCACTCTGCTTTGCATTAGCACAACATGATAACATATTTTAAAACGTATGTTACTTTATCAAAGAAACATCACACTTGTCTCAATACTTTAATTACAAAAAAAACCAAATTAAGGAAAAAGTAAGATCATATCACTTCTGCTGAAGTCCAATTAATCTGTACATGAAGGAACAAATGAACAGGTTTAATAATGTCTGTAAATATACTAAATTTGTAGGCTTTTTTTGTCACACAATGCAGAAAGTCAATCAAGCTTGCCTGTGTTAACATGAATCCTGGGGATGGGCAGAGGACAGGCAGCAGAAACTGATGGTAACATAGAAAACATGTAGGTACTCAGGATCAGACCACAGGTCTGTGCAGTCAGCACGATGCCAGCCCCCCTCTTTGGGGCCTTGCAGAGCTGGCAACACTGGTTCAGCACTGGGTGGCCAACTGGCAAGAGCTAGCAGAGCACAGAGTGACACAAAAGAAAAAAACTGTGGAAAAAGAAATATATTAGAAGAGTCTCTGAGTTAAGTAGACAGTTTTTGTTAAACTGTCAGCTCATGTAATTATATGAGTAATTTCTTTTCAAACCACAACATTAACATTTTCCTCTTGTGTTCCTGCTGCAGTTTCTGCGGTTTTATTCCTAGTCACAAGCAGGCGTTTGATTAAAGCATGTATTCAAGCAAAAAATGGCAAAAATCTCACCTATGACAGATACACATCCCAGTGGAGCGACAACAGCAATGGGGGCAAATCCGTAGGCTGCGAAATTGCCCACCTCTCCAAGCCCCAGGAGGGTAATCCCACACCACCACAGCTTGCTCATGTAGTAGGGCTTCAGCTCAATTTGGCAAGCCAGTCGGAGATGAGCGCATTTCTAGAAAATTAATTATTAGGAGCAGGCATGAGTAGAAAGACTTCCATTGTGTTCTTATGTCTGACAAAAGTAGAATAATTAAGGGGGCTGTCAACTTCAAACTCCAGGTGCGTCAAGGTTTCTTTTTAAGCGTGGCTTTCAGCTTGTTATTGCACAGCTTTGTGTTAACTCAGTGCCACTTCAGATGTGTGCTTCCTGAGCCATGGTGGAAATGGCTGAAAAATTAGGCCTCTGAACAAACCTGAAACATACTAAGTGAATACTAGCTAATGCTTCTGAGCTATCACTGCATGTATCTGTTCTTGTCTCAAGGCAGAAGCCCAGCAGTTGTGCTCTGAATCTGGAAACACTCAAAGGCAGGAGATGGGGCAGACTCCGAACTGCGGCACCAAATCGGAAGAAGGGAAACAGACGACATGGCATTCCTGCCCATGAAACATATCCTTGCCGGAAATATCACTTCAAAATGAAAAAGGCAGCACTTAATTGCATCTTCTGTAGGGAGGACTATAAATTAATTAGATAGAATTTAGGATTTGGCTACAATCTCCTGTTTGACCTTAGAAGAAGAGCATAGGTAAAGTATTACTCTCTGAAGGAAAATCAGCTATACCTGTGACAACAGGTATAACACACACTCAAGGAATACTCCATCAGCACTTCCTGTTACATGAAGAAGATATCACTGATACAGGTTGTAATTGTTTTCTCTCTGGATGTACAGCAAGAACCTGTATATAACAAGATAATAATTTGCCATTGATCACACTGATCCTCTGAAACAGAATCCAGGCAGTCTCCATCAGGAAGCTGCCATAATGGGGAATGATGCAATGTTTACCACATTAGTTCTGCAGAACATAATTTCCTTTCTCAAATTACTCTCCAGCCTCTCTGCACATGGGTCAAAAAAGTCAGAAATCAAGTGACACAGTTATTGCAGTATAAATGGTGGTAAAATAAATTTTTTTCTCCGTTACTTGATATTTGATTTTAGAAGTATCCCTGCAGAGTCCCAGGGAAGTTGTAAAGAATTTTCCTCAAACTCCCTTTCTACTTTGTAGGCTATGTTACAAAGTTAACGCCAAACAGGAATGTCTGTGACGCTCCATAGTCTTAGTCACTCCTCCTATTGAGAGGATCAGCACATTATTGCAACTTCACACTGTGGAACATATTCAGGGGATGAAATCCTAGGAAGTTCAGCCCTCCAAGGAGAAAAAGAGCACAATGAAATCAAACTTCCTTGAGCCACAGATCTGGGTGTTATTCACAGTAACATCCAGGATTTTGTGTGTTCCATATTTGTAAACACAAAGAAAAAAACCACAATAAAAATACTAATGAAATTAATATTAAATAATATTCAAATCAAGAATGAAAGTTTCTGCTGAAAACCAATTTCTTAACTGAATCCTGAACTGTGGTTTCTCCCTCAGATTCTTGCAGGATTAACTCCTGAAGACACGGTGCAATTGAAAAGATGAGCAACAAACACTGGAAGGTGAGTTCAGCAACTCTCTTACAGTCTTCTTTCTCCAGATGTCTGCCTTCTCTGCACAGTAATGTGTGTGAATGGTATTTAGGTGGAGACTGTTTACAACCCAGATGAAATACATTGCAAATGATGAGCTGTTCTTTAGCTAACAACCTGCTAGAGGGAAGAGAGGAAGGATAATGGACTGCATGGTGGGAAAAGAGCAGAGAACAAAAAAGTTCAGCCTGTCCTTTTAATATGAATATGAAAATAAATGTTGAGGTCTAGGGAAAGTAGTTATATTTGGAAGATATTGTTACTAAATGGAGAAAAACATACTTTAAAGGATTAAAAAATTTTCAGTTTAAACTGTCTATCAAATGGCAATGAGAGCTATGAGGTTTTTCTAAATAGCATTTAAAAAGCTGGAAGATAGTTCAAATCTAGTAAATGCTGTTAATGATTACAAGTCAGAAGAAGTGTTTCTGTATGCCTCAGTACCTCCCCTGGCAAAGCACCTACTTTGGCACTCAGTGCTCTCAGCAGACAAAAGATACGAAGTCCAAACAATCTAATTATTATGGGCTAGACTGAATTTCCACATCACCTTCATCTTTCCACTTCAGCTTCAGAGATTTTCCTAGAGCCTGTGCTAGCACTTTCAACACCAGCAAGTTGGAACTCATATTGGAAAGGCAGCAGTCATCTCAACCTGACTGTCACCTTCGGCTAAACACGTTTCTTTCTATGGGATTGTCCAACTAGAGATACTTAAAATAGGAGGGAATCACTGAAGAACCTTCTAGCATTATTAAAATGGGTTATTAGGAATAGAAAATTTCATATTCCACAGCTTTCTGTTTCATCCTTTACAGAAAATGTAAGAAGCAGCTTTACATGAGACATATACAACTAAAATACAAGCTAGCAAAAATACTTTTCCTGGACAAGTTACATAACAATGTCTTCTGTGCTTTAAGAACTTCTTCTAGAAGACCTAAAAATACAATGAAGTCTACAAGATACAGATTTTAATCAATTATTTAACTTTTTACTGAGTATGTATTCTAATTATTAAAACAGAAAGGATTTTATAAATGTCATCCCACCCTTTACCATATTTGTAAGGGCAGCACCTCCCATTATTTTATGGCTTAAATAATACTTACTCAGATTATTTCATCCTAACTGCAGAAGGAAAACTAAATTGGTCAAAGTTGCTTTGGGGCCAAATATTGCAAAAACTCTGTCTTTATGCAATTAATTGCATTAATCTCTTCATTAAGCAGCATGTAACACCTCGTGGTCAATTCAATTTTACAGATGAACCTCTGAGACAGGTTCAGTGGGACCACGAGTGAGTCACAGCTGCTATTTCCTTATGGCACATTACAAGGAGGAGCACTAGTTATGAATTTTTATTCTGTTCCTGTATGAGAATCACAGTACAAAATAGGTTGAGAGCTCCCAACAACTACAGCAGGGCACTGTTAAATCAGACTTGAAGAAAGAGAATGTTTATTAAATGCAACAAAATTTGTATTTTGAACATCATCAAAACCAAACTGCAACAAAAGTTACTTGCTAAATATAAACAACTCTGAATAAAGAGAAATAATTCCATACCTGTATATTCAAAGAGACACTAATCAGCAAATTTGATCCAGCAGCAAGTAAAACTCCCAAGAGCTGAGTCTGCAAGATCACACAAGAAAGAAATACAAAAATACTTATTAGTTTAAGAAGAACAATGTAATGGTGGTTTTCTGATAGCACATTGTAACCCAGTCAGAAACAAATTATTGCACTTTTCAGTCACTGAGTTCATGCTGCAGTGAGTAAACTGATAAAAATACCTCTGTGCAGTTGACCAGGGCCTAAGTAGTAAAGAGGTGGGAATGGAAAGGGCATCTCAGTGCAGGAGGTGGTTTTGCTGTCCTTCAGTAGAAAACCTTAACTCCCATGAAAGAAAAAACTGGGCAGGTCTCAGTTGAAAACTATAAGGATCTGTTTTGTTACATAATCCGGGAGGAAAATCACCAGCAGTAAAACAATTCCTATTGGAAGACAACTGTCTTACATGTTAACATATCTGCTATTTGACAGGGCAGACAGGAATAGGTCTCCTGACAGTTTCTTTAATGTATTTTGTTATTGCATGAAATTATTTCCTAATCAGACTGCCCAATTTTCAGTAAGATTTGCAAACTTTTTATGAAGCTGATAAACTAAAAATATTCAAGTAGAATTTGTTATTTTGGAAAACAGCCACTTAAAGATGCCATTTAAGCAAGACCAAATAACAGGTACATGATAGAGCTTCCAGTCTACTTTCAAAATGTCGAACAAACATTTTCAAAAAACACTTTGCAAGTCATCATAAGTGTATTCAAGATCCATTCGAGGTCACTGTTACAGTGCTGTGAGAAGCCTCATTATTTAGTAGACGACAAACATACTATCAGCTTTTATAAACAAGGTCATGGTAAATAACCCAGCACAACTACTGCTTGCAGGCTGTAAAGCAGCATCCAACTCTGTGCTTGCAGCCTCAGCTTTCACGACTCTTACCCAGGAAGGTCCCTGGGCATCTGTGAACAGGTAGCCACAGAGACTGTTGCCCCTCAACATTTATAAAGAGCAATATGAGGTCCAGCAAATGCTTAGAGGAGGGTTCATTGTTGTGGCTAGATGATTCCTAGACAAAGAAATGGCATCGCCAAAACTGTGAAGAAACACAGCCTTATTGACTATAATATTCTTACTTAAGAGATGCAGCAGAATCCAACCATTTCCATCCCATATGTTTCTGTAGTGACTTGGAAGGAGAAGCAGACAACAGAACTGCTCTGAGTGAAATGCTTGGCTGACCGCCAGGTGTCAGCAAGACGTGACTGATGGGTACAAGAGGATGCAGAGTGGAGAATACAGGAGGTGAGAGGGCTCCCTCTGCTATTACAGCATCAGTATCCACAGACTATGTACAAGAAGTGTTCAGTGAGAAGCATTATTCAAGAGTTTAGCCCATGCCCTCTGGTCTTTTCCATCTTGTATCCTCTCCCACCACCCCAGTATCCTCCAGTGGATGCTCCAGCAGTGTTTCCCGGGCTCTTACACCAGTGGATTTTCCATGCTCTAGAAATACACCTCACTGGAATCAGTAGGAGAGCATAACAAGACATCTCAGCACACAACAGCACAGACATCCTTGCTGAGATCAGGCACTAACTGGGACATAAGCAGCCTTGCAGCCTCCTTCCACACTGGGCAAATGCTGCCCCATGTACACCATGTAGGGCCACACTGGAGCAGAGGGGATGGGTTTTCCTTCCTTTGGTCTTGATGCTGTTAGCAGCAAATCCTGAACACTGATCTTGCACAAAGTTTGACCACTTCGTTCTGCACACACAGCAGCTTCAAAAAACAGCAGTTAAATTGAAATCGTTTTCTTGCTCCTAACGTCTTGTTCTTTTTAAATGACAACATGCTCCCTTGTGAGGAGGTGGAGAAGTGGCCTTGTCAGCCTTGTCATGAAGTGTTTAAGAAAAAGGAGACAGCAGGGAATAGAAAACAGAAACTGCCACCTCATTTACCCCATCATTTTATTGCTTTCACATCACTAATTGTAATACATCCCCACTGCTCCCAGCAGAGAGCTCAGCCTCTCTGCAACTCTTTTCGTTCCAGTGGCTGATCCTATCCTTATGGCTGCATCTCTGGATAATGCCTTGCAGCTCCTTCCTCCCAGTTTTCAGCTGGGGGTCACAAACACTGCACAGGGCTCGGGAGGCAGCCAGAACCCCAGCAAGGAAACACAGTTGATCTTGAGCCAGCCCAAAGGAGGGTATCCACCCAACTCTGAAGGTAAAATTTGTGTGCAGCTGGTGAACAGAGGAAGAGGCTTTGGGCTCCCTCTGTCATCTAAAAAACTGTGAAACCAGATCCATGTACAGGTACTGATGATGACCTGCGTATGCGCCTCCAGAGGCTATGAATCAAATGTCCCTTTGATGGCTTTACACACTGCATGGACTGGATCTCCAACAGTAAGTCTTCCAATACCCTGCATCATGGATGTCCTCCCCAGAACAGCAACTGTTTTTGTACCACAGTGGTTGCTTCATCAGGTACCTGTATCGGAGCTCGGCTCAGATATCCTTGTGGGACACATAAGATTTCTAACATGATGACCAGCCTGTGTCTGAACTGGAACCATCTCACAAAAGTCAATTCTCTTCTTAGAGAATCATAGAATCACAGAATGTGTTGGGTTGGAAGGGACCTTAAATACAATTTAATTCTAACCATCCTGTTATGGGCAGAGACACCTTCCACTGCACTAGGTTGCTCAAAGGCCTATCCAACCCGGCCTTGAACACTTCCACTTGAGCACAAAACACTTCCACTTTTCCACAAAACACTTTGAGCATCCACAGTTTCTCTGGGCAAGCTGTTCCAGTACCTCTCCACCTTCACTGTAAAAAGCTTCTTCCTTATATCTAGGCTAAGTCTACCTTACTTTAGTTTAAAATCCTTATCCTGTGACATTCCCTTGGGCCTAACTTTAGCAACCTCCTGGTCTGTACACAAGGAAGAACAGTGAATGTGTATTTTCAAGGCAAATGCATAGTGGCAGTCTGGGCTCAAAACCTCCCCTCCTGGCTCAGGTCACTTTATTGCAATGACCACGTTTCACCTGAGCCTTGCTGTTGGCATATATACTGCTCTGCCTGCTCCAAGCTGACAGGTGTTAATGAGGTCTGGTTAGTATGGCAATAGCACCATACTTTCAAACTCAGGGCTGGACAGACCCCTAAAGATTAAAAGCAGAGTACGATCCCCTAAGGACGTGAAATATCACATGGATCCAGTCACAGAGATGAGATGAAAGTACAGTAACGCCACGCAGCTACAGCATGGCAAAACTGCCTTGTACAGGTTCATACTCAAACAGGCCTATGTCAAATAAAACAATGGGAACAAAAAATGCAGTAAAGAGGAAAATTACATTGCAAACAACACACATCAGAGTGAATCTTAAATCAGCAGGCAATTCCTACTGCACAAGAGATATCACATACAGCAGTGCTCAAAGAGAAGAGTCAAAATAGGATGGCATATCTCGGGCTAGTAAAACCATGCATGAATGAAAAATGACCTGCAACAGAGGATAGATCACCGCATCAAACTAAAATAGTTATTGTATTGCTCTGAAGGCCACCGTAGCCCTTCTGTTCTCACCCTGTCCTGTGGAAGGCTTCATTATTTGTGCAGTGTCTGCCATTTAACATCCTTCAGAGGCTAAAGGAATGGTTCAATGGCCAGTTTTGTAAGTAATAAACATGATATTCTCTGAGTTTCCAGTTGTGATACCATACACAGTACTGCAGAACTTCCCATGCATAAGTCTTGAGACAAACCCCAGCTGGGGAATTCAGTTGCAGACACAACTTCAGAACCATGGTACTACTTCAGTCAGCTAAGGACTTCTACAGGAAAGAACCTTAAATATTTTAAACTGTTGCCATAAAACGCAAGTTTCTTCATCACTGAAACATCTGTCTGAGCATACAGGACACTTTGTCAAATCCCAGATTTCAAACTGTTGACACATTTTTCCAGTGCTTCCAAATCCATGAGCCTTTCCACAGTCTTATGTTTTCCAGAAACTAAAAATCACTACTTTTTTTATTTCCTTTTTTTTTTTTTTTCCTTCACCCTAGCATGTTTTGGAATAAGCCATAAAAGTCACCTGCCCACTTTGCAGTCCTTGCTAGATAATCCTTGAGCACATAGACCATGGACTGAGGTTGTGAATCTGCCCACATTTTCCTTGGTAGCAAAACAGGCTTGAGGAATGCCTACCTCTGGCCCCCCACTCCCTCACTGCCTCATTTCAGTGCCTGAAAAAATCCTCCCAAAATATACCCCATCAGCATTACGTTCTTTATAAGTCACCTGCCAATGTTTAACACTAAAGGCAGATTAAAATTCACAAGCCACAGCAAGGGTTTTAAAATGGGGACCCTGCGTGGTTTTCCAGTGATGACACGGACCTGTACAGGGGCTGCTGCAGGAACAAGTTCAAGAAATGGCAAATTCAGCTTGAGCAAGGTATCCTGAGCACTCACCTGGCACTACCCATCTCAGCTGCATGAAGCTTTAGTTACATGTATGTTTTCCTAAAACACATCAAACTGCAGTTGCCAGGTCTGTGAAATGAAAACTTTGAAAAAAGAACTTAATTTGCATTGAATAAAAGGTATATATCATTATTTATGAAACTTGCTATGCCTATAAATTGAACTGATGAGCAGGAAAAAAACTAAAATCTTTAAATGTCTGTTGCTGGCTCACTCATCAAATCTAGTTAAACTGCTCCTCCTGGTTTTCTTGATTTCTCCATTTATTTGTGATATAATGGTGTCCCCAACAAATTTAATGACATATACTGTTTCAAAGGCTACACACCATTCCCAGTAATTAGGATTTTGTCAGATCTCAATGGATCTTATTAAAAAAAAAAAAAAAAAAAAAAAAGAGGAGGCAGGGGAATGCCTTCTAAACTTCCAACTATGAGTTAACTCTGAAGCGACGGGCATTCAGAGTCCTTAACAAAAAGCGTATCTTTAAAAGGGCTATCATGTGGGATTGGAAGAGGCTTATCATTTAGCTGTTATTATTCACAGGGCTCT